GTACTTACTTACTTACGTAATTACTTACTTACTTACTTACAAACTTACTTACAAATTTACTTAATTACATACATACATGCATACACATGTACATACATACATACATACATACATACATACATAAATTCATACATCCACCCATCCATACATGCAGTACATACCTACCTACCTACCTACCTACATACATACATACATACTTACGTGGTTCCACATACTTCGTCTCCTAGACCCGTCAGGGCTTTGGGTTTAGGGTGCCCTGGAAGCTCTGGAACCTACCCTGAAGTCCTGAAGTGTTTAGGGTTTAGGGCCTCAGTACAAAACCCTCTAAACCCCAAGACCCGAGAACCTAAAACCTTAAACCCCAAACTTTACGCATAAGCTTAAAATATAAAAACAAGGCCGTGGCACATCCTCAAACTGACGCAGCAAGAAGAAACACGAGGCCATGCATTGCCGGCCTTGTGTCGGCCCGGAGCTCGATATACTTCGAGGATCAGGGAAACGTAGGAAGTGGGATCAACGAGTTGTAAGCGGGAGATGAGGGTATACTCGACAACTCTGCGTATTCTAGGATTAAGGCTTTGCTTCTCGGCGTTTCTGTAAAGGGGTTGAGGAGTTCGTGTGGCCTTTACGGGCGTAGGGTTTAACGTTGGGTTTAGGGTTTAAGGTCCCAGGGTTTGGGTTGCCCTTCTCCTTGACGCCAGTCCGCAGCCATAAGACGCCCTGAGGGGCCACCACACCCGCAGCCCTCAATCAAGGAATACAACTGTTGATGGTTTGAACTGGCTCGGTGAAGGAATAGAACTTTAGGTGTTGCGAGGATCATCGAACTATAACTTCAGGTCCTCAGAACGTGTCGCGGAGCATTGCTTGATGAAGGACGTTTGGCTGTCTTCCTCACCCTTGGTGATCTGATAAAACCGTTGCATCATCTTCGTCTCGGCTCTCCCTCTATGTTTTCGCACGGCTTCCTTCCGTTGGCCTTGTTGGGTTTTGCCCCGCCGAAAGAGTCCCAGAGAGATGCCCCAGCCATGGCAGCCCACGAACTTTGGTTCCGTCCAACTAGTCAGCAATAAGACCGGATTTACCATACGTCGGTTTGAGATTAGTTTCACTAGGGGCCTTAGCCATGTTAAGCACTGATTGGCCTGGGAACCTTCAACCATATGTAAAGTTGCTCCCGCCTTATGGTTCAACCAGGATCTCTGTTGGGACTACCAAATAAAGCCATGCCAGCAGCTAAGCCCTTACGGGCAAGCCTCCTGACACTATTCTAGTGAACACGGGTAAACTAACCCTAAACTCCTAAATCCTTGACCATCATCCTACCCTAAACCCTAAACCCCTAAACCCTAAACCCCTAAACCCTAAACCCTAAACCCTAAACCCTAACCCCTAAACCCTAAACCCTCAACTCCTAAACCTACCCGCTTGCCATGACTCCGAAGCTGCAGCGCCTGGGATGGTGTCGCACTCCGACGCAGAAGCCCCGACCAGCTGAAAGAGCTGCCTGGATAGTTTGGGTCTAGGGTCTTTTTTTTTTTTTTTTGGGGGNNGGGTCTAGGGTTTTACGGTTTAGGGTTTAGGGTTAGGGTTTAGGGTTTAGGGTCTAGGGTTTAGGGTTTTGGGGTAGGTATCCTAAACCCCTAGCCCCAGTGTGAGTATAGAGTTAAACCAAGAAGACAGCTGAGGTTATAGTGGATTGTAGCGGGACCCCTACTAGAAGTTTGACAATCATGCCGAGCTCGGCAATGTGATATCTCTGTGAGTATGCAGGGTTTGAGGTTCAGGGCTTGTCTCATCTCCCACTTCTTTGCAAGCATTGCAAATGCTGAGTCCGAGCTGTTGACACCGTCCTCAGACCTTACCCTAAACCCTGAACCCTGCCTAAACCCCTAAAACCTCCACCCTATAACCCTTTCAACCCTGAATCCTCACTCCGAAAGCTAATCCCTACTAGCGTTGGATATACATATATATATATATACATACATATACATATACATATACATATACATATACATATACATATACATATACATATATATATATATATTTCTTTTTTTCAACCCTAAACCCTGAACCCTAAACCCTAAACCTTAAACCCTAATCCCTAAACCCTAAACCCTAATCCCTAAACCCTAATCCCTACTAGCAATGGATATACTTCAGGAGCCTTCAGGCCAGCTTAAAGGTCTCGGTTTAGGGTTTAGGGTTTAGGAATTAGGGTTTCGGGTTTAGGAATTAGGGTTTAGGGTTTAGGGTTATGGGTCTGGGGCGCCATACTACTCTTGTCAAGCACCGGGGGGGGGGAGGGGGTGGATAAGTGAGGGTTCGACATTGTGGCTGGAGACCATAAACCCTAAACCCTAACCCCCAGGGTCCAAAGGACCTACTAATCATGCACTTGGGTTACGGGTAGTAGTTTTGTAGGTTAGTATTCAGAAGAGTATATGATTACTCGGTACTTGGACCCTAAACCCTAAGGTCTGTGCAGAAAATGAACCGGGGATCATCAGGACTACGAACTTGAGTGCGTGTTCCGGCGCCGCGGGTTGCAGGCTTCCTTCCTCTACGGGATGTTAAAAAAAATACGGGAATTAAGGATCCTAGCGAGGTTCAAGGCTTGCCTCTGAACTGAAGAGCTCAGGATATTATTTTTAGCCTTAACCCCCTAAACCCTAAACCTCAAACCCTATAAACCCCTAAACTTCAAGCCCTATAAGAACCCCCCCTTGGGTTTTGCGGAAAGCTCCGGGAACTCGCCAGACTCAACCCCGGTCAGCGTTCAAACTTAGTGTTTAGGGTTTAAGGCCCTGGGATGATATAGGTGCCTTAGTAACTAGGATGTTACAAGATAGGTAAGGATCTCTAGTACGGTTGATGATATAAATTCTGCATTATACATTATAAGGAATATACACATAATTCCCATAGTTTAGGGTCCTTAAGGTAATGCAGGATTTATATCATCAACAGTAGTTAAGGATCTCTAGTCTTGCTGTAGATTTTCCCGCCCCGATTGCTCTGAGCTTGTTTCACTTCTGCAGCCTGACTGCGCATGCAACTCGCGAGCTTCAGATAGCACAGAGTGCTGAATCAGAAGCTCTTCCTGTACGAGCATCCGTTGCTATGTGAAACCATAAACCCTAAAACCCTAGACCTTAAACCCTAAAACCCTAAATCCTAATCCCGGTCGAAGATTCAGAGACAATGTTCAGTTGCCACTAAGCCCTGGACCCTAAGCCTTGAACTTGACCTTCCTCTAAACCCTGTAGCTTTTAATGATCAATGAATGCCCGAGAGTCGGTTGAGATTTGCCAAAATGTCGAAACACTAATTAGTGGCCACATAGGCGCTTGCACCAACGAGGTCGACGATAGCGTCGACGACATCTGGGAGGGCAGCGGTTGTGATAGTAAGGCCGATAATACGGCAAAGGCACGGTGGTTGTTGTTGCTGTTGTTCTTGTTGCTGTTGCTGTTGCTGTTGCTGTTGTTGTTGTTGTCGTTGTCGTTGTCGAGGCCGAGGAAGTCCCATTGCATCCAAAGATCCTCGCGAACAAAAACCGACGTGCCGTACAGCCCTAAGCCTAAACCCCAACAGTCGAAATCACATTGCATCGAAAGATCCTTCCGACACTCTCGTACTCGGTGAAGGGTATGACTGGTATCCACTCTGCCAGGGCAAGCGAAGTCGCCGATATCCTGGACTCTTGTTGTGGACAAAAATATTTTCAGCAACCGCAATACCATGGAAGGCACAACTATCCTATTCTTCCGGTCTGTCTCGCCATGCTCCTGTCTGTCTTTCTGTCAGTCGATCTGTCTATCTCCTATTTGTCTATCTGTCGATCTACGTATCAATCTATCTATCTACCTGTCCATTCTACCTACCTAACTATCTAGCTACCCAAATATCTAGCTATCGGGCTATCTAGCTATCTAGCAACGTAGGTTTCTATCTATCGACCTAGCTTTCTATCTATCTATGTAATCAGTCTACCCTTGTTATGGTAGCTGAAACTGGCTTCAGGTACCTATATGTACCTATACAGCCTATACAGTCTTATATAATATAGACTTGGTCACTTAGTCCTCAAAGTACATGTATAGGAACCCCTTTAAGGCCTAAGTTAAGTATATACAATGTGGGCACATGGAGCCTTAAAGGAAACCCTAAACCCTAAACCCTATACTAATGCATACTATATTATATGGGCACATGGGGCCTTGGGGACGGGAGCCCCTAAGCGAAGCCGAGTGTCGCTGCACTCGCAGGACTATCGACATTGGGATCCGACGAGCTCCTCGAATCGATGAAGGACTGACGCTCGGCCCAGGTTCCATCGGAAGTCACCTCCGGGTGGTCTGTTTGGTTTTTTGGGGGTGTTCTAGAGCTTTGAAGGATTTTACTGGGGTAAAAGGTTTTAGGGCTTTAGGGTTTTACAGTAGGGTTTAGGGCTGTAGGGTGTCATTCCAGCGTGAAGGGCTCTATAGGGCTTTGCGGCCTTAGGGGTTGAGGATGGTTGCAGGATTAGAAGCCTCGAAGATGGTGACCCCAGCGCAGAGCAAAGCACCAGCGCAATTCACGACGGCCTTGCCGGAGGATGAGATTCCAAAAATAGTTGGCGATTGCACCTGAGCTGGCCCAAGAACCCCTCCTGGCCTACATGCTATATATCATACCACAGCTATAGAAACCCACATGGGTAGTTCTCAAAATAAGGTTCCCTGTTGGGTCCTTTTCATAAGGATGCCGTACTATATTGCGGACCCAATAAGAGACCCTGATTTAGAGAGCTACCCATATCAGACACAGTATAGAAACCCACATAACCCAAGTCCTAACAGCTAGGCAAAGCAGCTCAGGTCTCTCGAGTAGTCCCAAAGCATTGAAAACCACAAATTTGGAAACATAAACAAGCGCAGTAGGAAAGCACAAACCCAATCAAATGTCACGATTCCAGGTTGTTGCTGATCCGGAAGACTTCCTCCCATTGACCGCCCTGGTTTTGGTAGATCACCGTCACAGAGTCAACCTCGTCTATCCAGCCGGAGATGATATAGTCTCCTTTATACAGGGTGCACATAAAAAGGGCTGTATAGAGGTTACATGTACTATGTATATGGAGTGTGTAGGATCTCTAAACCCCTAAGTATAGGCCCTAAATCGCACAAAACATCCCCAGTCTCCGTCCACGTCCAAGCCGAGACCAATCACCGGAAAACTGGCTGGGGGGGAGATGTTTGCCACGTTCGACCACGAGTTCCCGGCCCACTGGTAGACGGACAGTTGGACAACAGGAGGGGTCCATTCCTTAGTTGCTCAATTCATAGGCACAAAAAGGTACAGAGTTTCAGTTTCATAGTGGATATACCTTATCTCAAAAAGTGTAAAGTGTATCCATTCAGCTACTATGTTTCTTCCAAGGTCAAAGTCCTACCATCGGTCGCGAATCTGAATGCATCAAGCTGAAGTTCCGCAGTGGGCACAAGTGACCAAATGGATCCTTGCAACTGGAAAGTCTGGAAAGTCCCGGAGCCGAAGCTCAGAAGGACCAATAAGTCCCCTCCAAGAGAAAAGGTCGTACTGTTGATGGACAAAATCCTGCATTACCCATTCTAAGGAATATACCATAATTCCCATAGTTTAGGGTCCTTAGGGTCATGCAGGATTTTGTCCATCAACAGTACTGCGAATCCCCGGTAAGGATTGTCGTCCCAAGAAAGCCCAGTTCGCCCCGTCGTACTTGAAGGTATGCGTGGTGCTTGTGTCATTCACGAGGCTCAAGGCCACGACGATCTTCTCGCTGCTCAGGGCCGCTTTTTTGGCCCAATCAAAGGGCAACGTCACGTTCTGACTTGCTATTTCCGTGAGGTTCGCCTGTAACTGCCATCCTGGAGAGTCCGTGCTCGTGTTGTTGTTGAAAACCAGGACATCACCGGGGGCCGGTCCGGCGGAAGGTGACCACGTCATAAGGATGACGTCATCTTCGGCGCCTGTAGACAAGTTCAAGTCTGTAAACACGTCTGCAAACACCGAATTGCCGCCCGAGAAGTTCAGCGCCGTCACACGCAACTGCTCCATCCAGTCAGCGCTGGAAAGACAGTGCGGCTCCGAGGCTTCGATGTGACGTGCTGCCGAGAACTGCAACGTGCAACTGGTGTCAGGAGAGTTTTGGGCACTCTGGCTCCGAACTCGCCCCAGCATGAACCAGGCGACGAAACTCCACATGGCCCTAAAGCCTTTCCACATTGTGCAAGGCCGTTAAAAGAGGGTCAAGGGGCCGGCTCGAGTGCAGAAACTGCAGAACAACCTCTAAGCTTCATCAACTAGGCCATAAAGGGGCTCCTATATAGGTGCTTTGAGGCCTCAGTATAAGATGAGTATACAGTATACTACATACGTACATAGGGAACAGTCATGCTAACAAAGCACAAAAGCCGTGAGTCCGTTAGGACATAAACCGTAAACCCTGCCCAACGGATGAGAAGGAGACAGGGCGTCCAGCTTATTAAAGCTTGCGGACAACAGCTTACGTTGGCATACGTACAATAGCAAGGCAGAAAAAGCTTTGATGTGAACTTTTCAAGAGACGCAGTTCTAAACGACTTGAAGTCATAAACCTTAAGCCACGAAAGCGTTGAGCACTACGACTACGACTACGACTACTACTACTACCACTACGACTACTACTACTACGAC